ATCATGTCTTGCACTATGGGCACAATCTCTGCTGTTATCTGAGAAATTATTTCTGATTTCATTTTTCCCAGGTCCCCTTTTGTTGTCATTTCAGGAAGTCCAGGTGGTTGAGTATCTAATTATTCCATCTTGTTACCCTTTGGGGTTGCCTTAAGTGACCTGGCAGTCTGGTTTTGGGACTTATTTACATGTCTTCTCATTTCATCATTTGCATCCTGCTGTGTCCTTGTTGAGGTGACTTTTTGCTCAACCAGTGGTCTTGAATTCTCAGCAAGCCACTGAGTAGCCTTTACTCTGCTGCTCACCAGTACACCAATTCCTGGGTTCAGAGTGGTGGCCTTCTAGATCCCTGAGCTGACCTGTTTTCTGGGCAGGCTTCTGGCTGGGGCCTGAGCACACTTAGGATGGTATCTATGCATGCCTCTCACTGGGGCCCCTAGGTAGCTATTGTCTGGAAGGGCCTTTAGCTGGGGGCTGTGCACCCCAGTTTCTGTTGTCTGCGCAGGCTTTGGCTAGGGTCTCCTTGCACTTATCAATGGTATCAAGGCAAGCCTCTGGGTATTGCTTGTGTGCCTCTACAGCTCTTCTCCAGTTGGGTCCCTGGCTGTGGCTGATAGTATGGCGAGCCTCTGGCTGAAGCCTGCGTGCCCATGTAGCCCCTTTCTGGGTGGGCCTTTGGCTTGGGTGGGTATGCCTGAGCCTCTGGGTTCAGGGCAGAGCCCCGGCTGGGATCTGCCCACAGCCGCTCTGGTCCTGGCCACACAGCTGCTCCCCAGGATCTGCCCGCACTTACAGATGGAATGGCAGGCCTCCAGTGGGAGCCCGCATGCCCATGTACCTCCTCTCTGGGCAGGCTCCTGGCCTGGGTGGGGGGTGCTGGAGCTTCTGGTATTGATGGGGACCCCCAGCTGGGATCTGCCTGCAGCCATGCTGGTCTGGGCCACACAGTTGCTCCCTGGGAGCTGCATATGCTCACTGATGGAATGGCGTGCCTCCGCTGCTCATCTTTCTTTAGCTGAGCTCAGTCTTAGGGGGTAAATATAATTTAGTCAGTTCTTATATCAGGCAGGGCCCCAAAAGCAACAGATGGCACATTGCAATTAGGATCACTTGAGGAAGGGTTATTTGCAATGGGTTTAAATAGAACATAAGCTGGATGAAAAAGACTACTGACAAGAGACAGTACAAAAAAAAAAAAGACTAGAAGCAGCTGTCACCACCATTAAACAGAAGAAATGAAGGGAAGGAGCTGTTGCAATGAGAATGAAAAATAATTTTGTATAACAGACCCCTTGGGCAGAACAAGGGCCTTCTGCAACAGGGCTGGGCCAAGACCACCTCTCTGGGAATAAGGGCCTGAGTACACTCACCTTTTTCCTTATGATTTCCCCACCTGAGGCTCCTTTGTTATCTAGCTTCCAATCTACACAGCCTCTGGGGGCAGGAAGCAATAAGGAAAATTATAGAAAATGGATCTGAATGACAAAGGAAAATATTACCACAAGCCTCATTCCAAGAGCCTTGGGTCTTGGTCATCCCTTTGTTTTTCTTCAAGGAGGAGCATCTAACTTTTCTCTTCTACTAGATAGTATCTCAGGGGAAGTCATTGCTTTGCCCAACTTTGGATGCACAGAGTGTATCAGTGATGGCAAAATGTTTAGAGCCTTCAATGATAACAAACAGCTGGCTGTGGCATGTGTGCCTTAGATTTGGCACCTCTGGCCTAGAATATAGTAAATATTCAGTGCATTTAACTGGCCAGGTTCACCCTTTCCTTTCATTATCCTTCCTTTTTCCCTTAGAAGTGCCCACTATGGAATTGGCTCTTCAATATTTTCTGTTTGGTGTGTGTCTCTGGGCCCTGGGCAGTGTTACTACCCTAGCCTCAGTCCTGAATTGAGGTGGGAACTTAGCAATTACAGCTGATTTAGGCCTTCTCTCTGTTCTCCAGGCATCTGGCTGAAGGACTTTCCCACTAGATAGTCTTTTGCTGCCACCTTCTGGCATCCTGTCACCACAAACTAGACTACTCAGGATATTGAATGAAGTCACATCTCCCCTGGGAAGGTTGAAGGTGGGGATTGGGGGTGAGGAGTGGACAAAGTAAAAAATCAGCAGGCCCAAATAACCCTAGTCTCCTATTGGTCAGAGGGCAGGAAAACCTAGTACTGCTTGAATATTTCTAATCTGAAAATCTAAAATTTAAAACTTTTGTGTACTAAAGTGGAAAATGCCATAAGTGGAAAATTCCACATGTTCTCATGTGAAAGATCACAGTCAACATGCAGGCACATTAAAATAAAAATATTATATAAAATTACCTTCAAAGCCTGGCATGGTGGTGCACATCTGTAATCTCAGTACTCTGAAGGCTGAGGTAGGAAGATTGCAGTGAGATTGAGGTAAGCCTGGGTGATATAATGAGTTCACAGATTAAAAGATTAAAAATCCTATATATTTCCAAATGAGTATTTTCCTTTCAGGACCTGCAGTCTTTGGAATACAGCAAGTCACAATCCTCTCCACATGAGGTAACCTCTCTGCTCAAGAAATTGCTCTATCTATAAACCCCATGACTGTAGTAATTGTGCAAGTTGAGATACATCTTTGCTCATGTTGGTACAGGGAGAAGCAATTAGACCATTGGTCTCCACTGGATGTAGGCAGTGGGGCAAGGACTCAAGTAGATTGCTGGACTCAATGTAATCACCTTTAGATCCTGCCACCCTTGAAAGTCACCCTGGCTGAACGTGGCCTCCCACCATGGAATGCAGGCCCTTCCTGGCCTGAGCTTGAACTTCTCAGGGGATCTCAGGGGATCTATGTTTAGCCTTCACCCTCTCTACATTTGTCTCTTGTGGCTGTCTCTTACCCAGTCTCTGTGGTAGGGTAACACTTCAGTCCTAGAATGAAGCTGTAGTATAGGTGTTCTTGGGCTCAATCCCACACATTCAACCTTTCCCCCCAAAAGGTGCCTGATTAAACTCTCTGGCAATATGGCAGGTACTGCACTGGGTTTCTTCTCAAACTCTATCTCACCTCAAGAAGTCACTCTTGGGGTAAAATCCCACACTGTTTTTTTGTTTTGTTTTGTTTGTTTTAGTTTACACCAACTGTGCACTTTGCTCGGGGCTTGCGTTATTAGCCTATCCCTTATCTCTCCCTAAAGAAGCCAACTCTTCCAGGATTACCTCTTTTCTGGGGTGTTGGCCTTGTCCTCAATTAGGCCAGTCATGTGGTAGTTGCCTCTATGGTGCTGAGGTGAGCCAAGATGCCGAGCTGGCTGGCAGTTGGCAGTTTGATGCCCTTGGTGGGCAGGTGAGCTCTTACTTGCTCAATGGAGTGAGTGGGTGGAATCTTCCTCCTCTTTATGCAGCAGTAGGTGGGTAGGAAAAATTTTGTATTTAGACTTGGGTCCAACCCCAAGATACCTCAAAATATTCCAAAATTTAAAAACTTCAAAACATTTTGGTCCCATTTTGGGTAAGGGAAACTCAACCTGTATTTCAAGAAGCAGTAAAATACAATTACAGTCTTTAATTATCAAACCATAAATCTTGGTTTTATCCTGTTACCATCATTCTAAAGTAATTCTGAGATGCCAGCTATAGCTATCTCTTCATCTTTCCAGTGACTTCTGTATTCTAACTGTAAGCATGAATAAAGATCATACTTCTCTGCTACACTTGAGTGATTTCCCAAAGGACAGGTACTGGCTCATGGATTTTTTTAATTTATTTTTTTGGTAGTAAAATATGCAGAACAGAAAACTTACTGTTTTAACCATTTTTAAGTATATCATTCCATGGTATTAAGTACATTCATATTGCAGTGGAACCATCACTACTATTTATCTCTAGAAATTTCTCATCATCTTAAAAAAACCTTACCATTCTCCCTGCCCTCCAGCCCCTGGTAACCTCTATTCTACTTTCTGTCTCTATGAATTTGCCTAGTCTAGGTTCCTCATATCAGTGGAATAATGCAACATTCATCCTTTTGTGACTGACTTGTTTCATTAAACATAATAGCCTCATCATTTTTTTATGTTTTAGAGTTTCACTATTTTTTGTGGCTGAATAATATTTCAATGTATGGATATAAACATGCAGAAAAATAAAGTCTATAATAAATACCAATCTACATAAAATGCCAGAAAAAATAATCAATTTTTAGAAATGAAACACTGAAGAGTATAGCTTAACTCCCTTTATCTAGCTGCCCAGGGCCCCTTCTCTTTCCTTCCTTCCCAAAGACAACCATTGCCTT